ATTTTAAAGAGAATGAAACAATTTTTAGATATACAAATATGATCAAAATTTTAAGATATATTTAATGGAAAATTTCTGAAGGTGTGTGGGACTGATGGAATACTTTATCCATCGAAATGTCATTTGAAGATGGCAATCTGTCACAGTGGTTCTGAAATATCCCTCCAGAATCTCAACAATTGTAAACAGGCATTACGTAAAATTGGTTCGTCCGTTTTCCTTTTTTAATTACATTTTCGCTTGTATGTAATACATCAAGTAAAAACAATAATATTGATGAAATAATTTAAATGAAATTCCTGCTGTGAAATTTTGGAGAGTATATCATTACAAGAATAGCGGCTGTTTTTAAATTTGACACATGGACTAAAAATAATCAGTGTTACACTCCCGGTAAAAGCGTTTGCAATATTTCTACATTAGCTTACATCATAATACATTGATCTGATTGTATCCGATTACAAGCTGAATGATTAATCCTTTGAATGAAGTTTAACAGGGATAATTGATAACATATGCGATGTGCTGGTGATATTATTGGTAATAGCATCTTTATTTTTCTAATTTCTTTTAATTTGTAAAATTTCTTTTTTTTCCTATTTTCCATTTATCTCTTTCTGTCTTTCACTTTTGTTGACTTTTTGAGTTTATTTTGATACAAAAATAACTGGCAATCATCATGATAAAATATAGATAGATATGTGTCCATCACGTTATTTCAGAGCAATTTCTCAGAGTTTGCAGACAAATCTTCAATGCTTTACTAAAAATAGTCTTGCTAAAGTGACTTCATAACTTATTTCGAATAATAGCTGTAAGATTTAACAGGAATAGTAATGAGTCATGATGAATCAGTATAACATCCCAGCGAAAGGTGTGCATTGCTGTCTGATGTCCATTGTGTCCAATGCTAATGTTTGATATGTTCTAATATGGCATGTGAAAGGGCGCTCATTGATTCTAGTCTTGGCTTTAGCGCTTCAAAATGAAATGTTTTTAATATTAAAAAAAAAAAAAAAATGAAATTTTTGAGGTGGTGGATAGCGATTCGACTAATTTAATTTAATGTATTGTCCTACTACAGTGATTTATGATCAAATAAAGGGATGTTTACAAACTCTAGCTGATAACTTTGAGCCAAAACTAATAGTAATGAAGTTAACTTCAAGTCATTGGTCTTCCTTTTGGCCTTCCTTTCTTTTAGGTTTTCATTTCTCTTTCTCTTTTATTTTTCTTTTCAGATGCTAGCTGTCAAGCCAAGTGATCTGCTAAAAAATTTCCATAATGTAGCTCCTTCGCACAGTGTGGTTGTTTAGGTGAATTTTTGGCGATAAGTAGAGCCGACCAAACAAACCTGTTCCTTCTGAAAAATTTGTGCAATGCTTACCTAGAATTATCTTCTTCGATGTGTGCGTTGTAATTTCAATTGTTCCGCTAGGAATGATATGGGAGCCATTTGTGGCTTTTGTAGCCATGGAGAAGCCTATAATTGGACATGCTTCATAGATTTGGCTCCTGTAAATAGCAAGAACCTATTTATCAAATGACACAGACACATCTTTGCATTATTACGGTAGCAGTAATACTGCCATGATTATTTCTGAAGTAAAATGTTGAATTAAAAGAAAAATTGTTGGGGAAAAGCAAATGATTCAAAAAAACCATCGTCAACATATTCTTCAACTTATTAACGTGACTCTTAAAATTTCATCACTCTTTTGTAGATTTCTTTAAACATTTATATCTCTAAGATCTTATAGCGACTTCCTACAAATATTTTTGCGATAGTAGCATGCTGCAGCAAATTAACATCATTGTGAAATTTCGTCTTCACACATTTTTTCTGTATTTTTTGCAAATGTGCATTTCAACCGCCAGAAATACAGTATGAAAATGCAATATAGATAGTACTGAATTAAGAAATGTCTTCAAGATATACTTTTAGCTTCTTCAATTGTTAATATGGAACTGATCAAATTACTATTAAGTTAGCGTTGTAAAACAATTCAACATCTAGGAAGAACAGTTATCGGGGAAGAGAAAAGAAAGTGAAAAATTGATGTGCAAAAGTGTATAGTTCAGACTGCATAATTTTGCAGATGAATGCAGCTGCAACCGCGTTGGATCTTATAGTAACATATGTGATCAGCATGGACAATGTCGATGCCTTCCAGGTGTTAGTGGCAAGAAATGCGATCATTGCGCATCAGGCTTCTGGGGACTGCATCTGATAGCGAAAGGTGCATTAGGATGTCAACGTAAGCTATTTTCTGGTTCACGAAGGATATTTTTATTAAGTACTTCATTCTATTCATTTCATCGTGCAGCATGCGGGTGTTCGGTATTTGGTTCTTCACGCTTTGACTGTGAGCAGTCTTCTGGTCGTTGTCAATGTAAATCGGATTCATATGGTATAAAATGTGACGCTTGTGATCCAGATTCTATTTTAACTTCAAGTGGCTGTTTGAAAAAAACAGAATTCCACGCTCCAAAGTAAGATAGCTTTTAGCAACTGCAAATCTTTTTTTTCGACTTTAACTGGATAAAAATTTGAATAATTGATACTTTATGTTTTATTAATCTCAGCGAAGTAAATTTCTGTTTTTATGAACTTTCAGATGACCTTTTTGTTTGCTTGTCAATAATAAGATACGGGGAAGATAAATGATAAATGGACCATCTTTTTAGTGACTATAATTTTAACAAAATATAAATGTTTGACTAATAGGAATAATAACAGATATAATGAAGTAGTGAGCATATAGTCTACAATCAAAACTGTAATACAGCAATTAATGACTGATTATGTAGAGTAATTTGAAAATTATGATGAACTAAGATAGGAATTATAATTTAAGAGACTGCAGTGAACTAAGGTGTCATCATGGAGCTGTGTGCGTGATTGCTTCATCCGGAATGCCGATTTGTAAATGTTCTAAGCAATGTTCATTGAACCATCTTGGAATAATAGCCGAAATGACTATTTGTGGATCCGATGGTAACACTTATGATAATATCTGTGAATTGCAGCAGTTTGCATGCTTACATCAACTGGATTTGGTCCCTTCGACACTTGGAATTTGTTCACAAGGTGTCCCTTACTGTATCTATAATATACTTATATAAACTGTTGTCTAAAAGTTGTCGATTGGTTATCTCAACTTACAATAATGATAATATCTACGGCACTTTATATATATATAATCAGTACTTTTTAGATCTATGTGATAATGATAGCGAATTATTAGTGTAAGTGATAATAAGTAAGTACTGTAATGACAGCATGCTAAACAAAAAACTTACAGGAATCATGCAAGGGATAAGAGTTACTGACCATTAATTTAAGTTTTTAGTGTGTCATATTTAAGATAGCAGAAAATTTTATTAGTTTTAATACTCCATTTTGCTAAATTGAAGGATATATTTCAGATGGTAATAATGAGATGCAACGCCGTCGAGAACGTAAATTAGATACAACACCAATTTTGGGAAATCTATGCGTAGATGATACTGACTGTCACGTTTTTAATACATACTGCGGTCAAGTGAATTTCTTAGAACTGAAGAACTGTAAGTGTAAGGAAGGATTCTTTCCGTCTAAGGATATGATGCAATGTATACAAGGTAAGAGGGCCTTTTTCACTTTGCTTCCTGATATTAATTAGTGTTTTCAAAATAAACTTTGATAAATCTGTTTTATTTTGAAATGGTAATATGAAGCAGGAGCTGAAATTTCTACTGTCTTCATTAGTGCTATCATTTTTATTTTATTACACTTTAATGGTCTTTCCGTTTTTCAGTTTTCGAATCCGGAATTCGGAATTGATCCTAAAACTTGATGAAACAATATCTTAGTTTACTGCTCTTCCTTCGACAAACAAAATTAATGTTAAAACCATTGTGCAATAATTCATAGGGCAAATATTAAATCATTGTTAGCTCTCTGAAATATTTTTGGGGTTGTAATTGTTTTAAAAAATAAGCGTTAAGTCCAGAGATCGAGATTTTTCAGAAATAAGATTTGGAAAGAGAATGACACTATTTTTATAACACTTAGGCAATTTGTATTATAGAAAAGAATAATAGTAACACGAATTCATGGTTACTGGATGGATCTTCCGGAATGCAAATTATAATTAGGAAATCGTTGAATCGCCTTTTTTCAATTCAAATGCAGGTGTGATGTTGTTTTTGAGGGATCACTCATTTGAAATTTATTAATGGTTAAGTAGAGCTGAGGGTTGTTTGCAAGAAAGTACGCATTATAAGTACCTTTTTCAGTGCTGTAAGGAAATGTTTAATCTGTTGTTGATTTTAAAAAGATTAAATGCTTGAATAGTTGAAGTTAATGAAAGAATCCTTGAGCACTGTGTTGCAGTTCAGCAGATTTAGTATAAAACCTTTTCTGAATTCGTCTTCTAACTTCAATAATCTAATTAATCAATAGGTTCAAACGTACAACACTTCGGGAGTGCTGCTATACAGTGGTTTGAATAAAATGAATGATTTCATCCTTTTGTTATTGTCAAATTTTAAACTTATATTCAGGTATTTTTTAGTTTTAATTAACAAAGACTTTTTAGTGATATGCTTTTTTGATGGTGTATACAACACCAAAACACAAGTGTTCGTTTTGTATTCGAAACATTTCCACGTTATATGGTATTTAGATTCCACTCGAGTTAGCTACATTTTATATTTGTTTTATGTTTACTGATGAAGTACACATCTAACACTGAAATGTTTAAGTACAAGAGTACATTTTATTTTTTTTGATGAAGGGAAAAGTCTTACCCTGAAAATATCAATCGACAAGTTTCAATTGCTGCAATAATTCATAATTGGATGATATATTGGAGATTTTGTGGTCAAACAACCACTCTTTGTTACCATTATAATTTTTTATTGGTTAATTATCTGTCTATGTACAAGCCGTAACGTATGCTTATTAGTATATTGATATTTATTTCAGTTTCTCTCTGAATAGTGAAATATTTGTCATGGAATGGAAATCATTATTGGACATAAATCACTCATACATAGTTACACTTACTTTCTCGTATAATCAAATTTCTTTGATTGTTGATGACTTCGCTCCAGTAGTTTTCAAACTGCCACCTGCGGTCATCAGTCACCCACTTAAATTTGATACACCAGTATATCTGGGATACACACCGGTGCTGCTTCTCCGGTATGACTCATTAAATACAACTACTTGGTAAAACAAACCAATTTTCCAAAATCAAAAAGCATTTATTTTTATAAATATCCTATATGCTTCTCAGAATCTGTGAAACATTTTGTTAGATGAAATTTTTTGTCGAGCAAGTTCTAATAAAAAAGCGAGAAATTTAAAATTGACAATTTCCTACACATTTTTCAATTCTTGGATTGGTTTTTTTTATGTGCCATACGTTTGGTTGCAAAAAATTTTTGCTATAAATCTTAAATTACAGCTCGCATTCAATGCAAACGGCATTAAACAATTTCACGGGTTGTTTGTCGAATATTTTTATTAATGGGCGCGAAATATCGACAACAGATATAAGATTTTTGGGCGATATCGGTAAGATTGCTATATTGGACTGAGTTGCAACAAACTTGTTTAGGGAAAGAGGAAATTGAAGAGAATTTACATAAATTGTATTCATCGAAATCTCATTCACTGTGTCATTTTCACCTCGTGCACTAATATTTTCTTCTATTGAATACTATTAAATTATTACTTCATTTAACTGGTCTGAATAAATAGAGTGTATATTCGTGGTGTAACAATTTTGAATATGGTATCTCAAAATGATACCAAAGAATCAAGCAATCCAAGGCGTATTGTGGGAGGTGCTGAAGTTAGAATATTAGAATATATTATTGCACGGTAACATTATTTTGGATATAATAACTGCTGAGTCACTCACTATATGAAGCTTTTATGCTCGCACAGAACTTGTATGCCTCGAGATTTCTCGAAATAATAGATTCTGATTATTTGTTTTGCCAAATTGAGACTTCCATTCAGTATGACGTAATAAATCAATGTGGAAGTTTCGTTGTAATGATATATGACATGTTAAGATGTAAATCACCTTGCATAAGATGGGATTAATTTTTGACTTTCTTGCTTTCAGAAACTTTCTTTCAGCTCATTGCTCACAAAATATATGTGTAAAAAGTTGCTTGAATGGTAACTCATGCCTGTTGGATGCGAAAACTGATGATAAACCGTTATGTCAATGTATTCAACATTTTAACGGTTCTGTTCATTGATGATTTTCTTTGACTGATCCTGACATTACTTTTTTTAATTAGTAAATCTTAAACAAACTTCCCTCTCTCTCCACTAGCAATTGAAAACGCATAAATGTTTTGTTACAAGAAATATTAGTGACAATGCAAATGTACAAGCGAGCACTTAAATTCCTAATATGCTTTGCAGCAATTTGATAAAATAAAATGTCTCCACTAATCGACCCTTTTTGTTAGTAATATTTATCTTTTGCATGGATGGTTTTTTGTATGAAAAGATTCATCAAGGTAAAAGAGTTGAAAATATTTGATTGAAATCGTATATTCTTCTCTTCCCTGACTTCCAAGCATCAACATAACCAGTTCATTCTGTCCTCAAATTTCAATTCAAGAATTAAAATTTTAACTCTAAGAATTGCAGGCCAACTTTGTGAGCAGCAAATATGTAGAAGTAGTGAAATCTGTGGCGACAATTCTTCTAATACCAAGATGATGAGTGAAGAACAATTAAGTTTGTTTAATTATTAAACCATTCAGAAGTGAAAATTTACAAGAAGTCCCAACGTTAATTCAGTGGCACGAAAACATGCAGAACAATACTACTGCATGATAACATTAATTTAGGATATGATAACTAATAACTTTCTGTGCGTATAGAATTTGTAATATTCGAAATTTCTTGGAATAGCAATTCTTGGTTACAGATTAAAAAATTGTAGAATTAAAAATTGATTTGTGATCAATTAGTTTGAGTTTTGTTGCAGATATGAAGTTGAACCACACAGTTCCATTGTTCGTTGGTGATGGTTTTCTAAGTGAGAAGTTAATGATGGATGTGAAAGAAAAGCTAGAAATAGAAATATGGTTAAAAGCAATGAATCCAGATGGCCTGGTATTCTATTGGACTAATTTAGACGCTACCACAGGGCAATATACGGACGGCTATTTTATAGCATTAGTGTTAATCTTTTCACAGCCCCACTTCTTCTGGAATTTTGGCTCTGGGATCATTTATAGCAGGTTCATCAATATTTTATTCCTGATCACAGTTAACTTTCAAAGAGCGCTCTTATAAATTTCAAATGTGCAAGGAATTATCAACCAAGTTGCATGTTAACTTCGAAGATACCTAAGTGTCAAGATATTCGGTATTCTTGTTAAATTGCATTTAATTCAGAGAGCTAGAAGGAACTCTCTAGCGATTTTCATCCTTGCTCCTTGATTCTTATAACAGAACACTTTTGATGAAATCGATAGATGATATCATTAAATTTGACTTATTCCAATCATTAGTTTATTCTCTGAAGGACTCATTTTATCATGAAATTAAGCTGTCATTCTGTAAAATTGAGTGGCTGTGTCATTATCGGTTAATATAACCCGATGAGTTTTAGTAGGATTATTTGCCTTCTCGATTATTACTTTTAGCATTATTGAAGGAGTCATCTAAAAAGAATTGATAAGAAACGAAAAGAAGTAAAGGCAGAACATCATCCAGTGACTTTACTATTTAAATAAAATATTACTGGACTATCGTTTTTGATTTAATATACTTTTTAGTATATTTATTATTTTTTAATAAATATTATATTATTTAATATATTGAATATATGTCGATCATTGAAACAGATTTACTAAATATTTAGATTAGCTGAATATTGAGAATCGGCACTATGGTAATGATGTTTAGTTAGGTTTTATTTCACTAATTCATTTTTAAGTCGAATTTCATAGCTATCTCTTTCAAACTTATTTCGATAGTTTTAATGTTGCTTAGGTCCACTGCATCAGTTTTGAACGATCGATTCCACTCCATCCACTTTGAGAAATATTTCCGTAATGGTTCGCTTCAAGTTAATGATGAACAGTCTGATATCCGGATTTCTCAGGTTGTTTACTAGTGCTTATATTTTTTAAAAAAAAAATGGTGAGTTTTGAATCTAAGAATTGAATTATGAAAAAAATCGTTTTTCAAAACTAAAAATGAAGTTTTGGAAAATCTGGGTAGTAACAAATTTTCATAGAGTTTTCGATCAACTTTATTACGACTCATTTCAGATATTCGGTACAGATTTTCTCTTAGATCCACATATGAAAATATGCTTTGTTAGACGCCAAAAAATTTAATTCTCGAATTTGGGATCTTTAAGACTTACCAAGATTTCATATACTGTAACTTAGGTATTATTATTAAAAAAAAAATAATTGATAGATTGGCTATTCACCAAACAGTACAGTGATTTTCATCGGCGGTGTTCCAAACAAAACGATCCTACCAAGCGCGGTACCAGAACTTGGGATACCATTTCGAGGTGCAATACAACGACTGACCATTAATGGACATAGATTTTCTGAACTTTTCAAGGTATGTTGTGTAGCGCATATGTGATATTTTCGGACGAGGTTAAATTCTATTATTTCTTGTCAAGTTGATACAATGATATCGCTTTTTGTTCCAAATGAAATTATCCTTAAATGAAGTGAAAGATAACAGACAAGCCCTATTAGTAGTTGAAATAATTATATTGACTATTTTTGGCTTACTTTACAATTTTTTGAGCAAAATGCCACACTCGTTCATTTCAAAAATTACCGAAACTTAGCAAAAAAATCTTCAATCAGTGATTTCTCTGTTAGCATCTTTTTACTGTTCAATTTTTAGTTTTAAACCTTTCATGGGCCTCATGCAATTTTAATTAATTCTTGTAGTCTAAAAATCAATGAACAGCTAATGTTCAAATTTTATGTTCACGAAATGTTTGAAAATCCAAATTAAAATCTAACTTATTGTTTCACGGAAACGAAAACTAGGCGTTTTGTTCGACTACTACAAAACTTTTATTGAACAGGCAATGACCGATGAATAAAGGCTTATTTTTTAACTTATTAAATAGCGGCAAATTTTAGAAGCTCAGACTACTATTATTGGAGTATTATTCAGATATACTAACTTTTATTAACTATAGAAGAAAGGCTGCACTTTAATTAGCGACAGTTAATTTGGAAGAGTTCACGTCAAATATAAGGACTTCTATTTACCTACGAATAAATAAAATGATATTGGAGATAATGTACATTGATTAATTGATGAGGTTTTTAAATTTTATTTTACTATAGAAATATAAATAATGCAAGTGCACAGCATCCTACTTAGCAGTTATGGGTCTTTTTGAAATGATCCAAATTTTCAAGTTTTAAATTCAGAATTTCCTTTGCACTTTGTAAATAATGCCTTTGATTAAGGCTAATTGCTATTCATTTCATGAGACATTTGTAGGAATTTCAACGAATTGGTCGTATTATGCAGTATGATGATGTCCCATGTTCTAATATTAAGAGTGGAAATAGGAACTGTCTATGGAATCTTAATAAATATGGTTGTCGATGCCTGAATGAATACCAACCACTGGAATACATCCAGCAAGGTTATTACACTGAACATGGAATAAGAATTGTAGCAAATGGAAAAAGGAAAGAGAAAAATTCCTTGAAAGTAAACATAAGCTACCCTCTTCATTTTTTGTAGAAAGCCATTTTCAATCTGCATTAATATTGCAAAATGGCAGCTATATTCCTTCTTGATAAATTCTTCTTGAATTTCTAGAATTTTTTTTTTTTTTTGATTTTTGTACAAAGCATTTTGAAATTTATATTTATTGGTTGGGTTTGGCAGTGCACAAATTTCATCTTTTTTCCACTTACCTTTCTTTCTTCAGACCATTTATTTTATTATTGCTAACTTTAAAAGTTGGAGTTTTCAAAATTTTCAATTTGAATTTGATTTTTTGTCAATTTCCATATCATTGCTTGGATGAAGGGAGTACCAAATATTTAAAGCACAATTAGTTTTAACTACAAGAAATTGATACAGTTATTTTTTCTTTACAATTCAAGTTCTGAAATCGAATAGTGAAATAAGGATGGGATTGAAGATTACTTCAGTATCCAATTTTATTCTTAAAAAAATGGTAAAAACTGGTTTTTTCCGTCATATTATTCTGATCAAATTTATCATTTTGCCAAGCTTTGCCAAGAGGTCACAATTTTTATTTCGAGGTCTAAATCCTTTGATTTTTGTCTATGATTGTGAAAACAAGAAAAGAGGGAGCAGAGCTGTTATGAATATCTGAATTTTACATTTTTTAAGAAAAACACTATAAATATATTTGGAAATCTAAGTTTTCTTCTTACATCCATCGCTTATTAGATTTTTGGAAATATAGAATAATACCTGGATATATTCTACTTCCAATGAACGATAAGTTATCAACAGACTTGCTGGGTCAGTTTTTCTCATATCAAAGTTCCAGTGTTTCAGTTCTTAAAATTATTTCTAGATGAGAAAGCAGGTGCAGATCCGAACGATAGCCTCCTACTTGATGGGCGAAACGAATATGCTTTAGTTAAAACGATGGTTTCAAAGTATGAATCATCGTTATTTGGTTATGAAATCATATTTTGTAATTCACTAGTTAAACATATTTTGCAGTGTTAAAAGTAGTACAAGTCTTACTGAATTATTGCAACCATCTTTTTTGTCCACAAAATATTATCCTGCGATCGAATATTAGGAACATGCATTAAGTGTAGTATTCTCTACCAGTGTAATATGTAATCAGTTGATTATAGATTTATATTCACACATGAGTGAGTCGATAAAATAAAGTTCTTGAAGTTAAAACCTGTTGACAAGTTTATTCCTTAACACTTTATAATTTCTTGGAATCGAAAATGACAGCAATGCTTCATGTTTTAGAGAACATCCATTTCCTTGCTGTTCTTGATAAAGCTTACACCAAACACAAAAATTTTTTATCTCCTTTTTAGGAGACGTTCGAAAATATTGACAGACTATCAGTTTATGATCAAAACGAACAAATCAGAAGGTTTAATCTGGTGGGAAAGTAAGAGGCATATGATCCGTTCTAATTATATAGCAATATTTGTCCTCGCTGGACGACTTGGTTTTGCTATAAATTTGGGCAGCAGTCCAAAAGTTAAAGTAATTGGATCAAATACAATTGTAAATGATAATCGGTGGCACAGTGTTGCGTTTTTACGGTTTCTTTTCACTCTTCATTTTTACTGTTAATTTTCGGTTGAAAATTTCATTTATTTCTTTCATAACATCACTTATCCTGTGAGTTGATCTGACTGATCTTTGAGTAATTATGCACCATACTTTAAGTAATTTCAGGGAGAAGCGAAAGTCGTTGCTAATTGTGGACAATGAAAAAATAACTTATATTTCTCCATCCCGTACTGCGGAGTTAATGACTGATGGAATTATTTGGATTGGCAAGTTTCTTTCTTTACAGAAACTAAAGTTGTAACTCATTTTCCAAATTGAAGTCAATAAAGTTTTTAAGACTCAAAAATTTATGCATGTTTAGATTGTTAGTTTCATTTTGATGGTGATAATTGCTTCGCTTCTTCTTCCGCCTCGCTGTTATTCATATCTGTATAAGATAGTTATTGCAAAGGCTTAGATGAACTTTCAGTTGCAGGTGGGAAAAAGAAAATACCGCGGAGTTTTCCAGTAAAAATACCGTACAAAGGTTGTTTACGAAACTTACGAATCTCGTCACAAGTGATTAATATACGACGGGAATTTTCATTAAACAAAACGTATCGAAGATGCGAAAATTAGATGTTCTATTAAACGAATAATTCAGCGTTTTAAATTTAATAAATTCGGAAATAATATATTTTTTATGTCTGATAGCTATTGATAATTTAGGGTAATTTTGATCATGCTAAGTATTTTTTTGGGCATTTCTTTCACAGCATTTCCAATTACATATGAATATTCAAATGATATTTTAATTTTTATTAAGCTTTTTTTTTTTTTATTCATACAATTTTTTTTTTATTTTTTTTTCTCACAAATAATTCCTTCTTTTGAATTCATATTACATATATTAGCTTCAATTTATAGCAAAAACAATTAATTGGAAAGAGCAATAAATAAACAAATAGATTAAACAAGTGATATGATTAAAATTAAAGGTGACTATTACTATCCACGATATAATTTATAGGAAATTTTTGCAATGCTTCGGGCATAACATTTGCAGTCATTTTATCAGTTATTTTTCCATTCATTTATTTCGGTTATCATGTAATCATTTTACTGTTTAATTATAATAAGTATAAAATCGTTCTGATCAAAAAATCAAAATTATTGCTTGGTAAATAGTACTTGTTTTATACATACTAGTTTAAAATATTTAATCTTTATCTCTCGGATTCTTCAGCGATTTTTGTTTTGGATTTTTGCATGGTCCAACTTTTGTCATTTTTTTCTTCTATAAGTTCTTTATATCTGTTTATTGTAATTTTTAAATTTTCAGCATAAAAGAACGTTGTTGTTATTTATTATTTATTAGTGCTAATCAATGCGCTTATAAAGTTTTATTAAGTTGATTGCTAATAAATTAACAAATTGATTGTTTCGATTCAGCCGTGAAAGAAATTCATGAGTAGCACATGAGAGACTAATGATTGGTTATGATGAGTAAATTAATTACACGACATGCGGGACATCAGAACTTATTCACTTTCACCTTTTATATCACTTTTGATATATATATATAGATAGATAGATAGATAGACTGTACAAAGGCAGTAACTGACAAACAGTAAAGCTGACAGTGATATAATTAGATGACAAATAGTAAAGCATTTTTGTTACACTGATAAAATGTGGTTTGATGACTCAAAACCAATTTAAAATATTCTGTGGTGATATTGCCCTAGCAGTTAATTGTCACGTTAAGGCAACTGTAATGGTTTTTATAAATTTCCTCTTTCAAATCAAAATCAATTATTACGAAAATACAGATAGGATAATTGAGTGCCCCGGTGCTTGTCGTTTTTGTAAGATGGAGAAGCAGCAAATTGAAATAAATCATTTTTCTAGGGAAGTGAATATTCCGAGTTAAGTAAATATCTCTTTTGAGCTGGTTTAAATAATAATGTTGTAAAATAAACTAAAAAAATCCGGTTTTAGAATTCTAGCAAAACTTAACCTTATTCTCTAGCTATGCAACACTTCTCATAGCTGAAGAAAAAATAGCTTTTTCTTGTCACTCCATTTGAATCCATTTATTTACCAATTTGCTAACTTAAAAGCTACTGTTTTTGTAAATGGTTAGTTAATTTCAATCAATTGTAAAATTAATGAATAAAATATTTCCATTTTCAAACAATCTGTTAAAGAAAAGCCATGAAGAAGAAATGAGGCAAATTCCCGTTATTAACTATAAGATAACTTTTATATCCAGTGCATTTGATATTTCACAGTTCATTTTAATGAAGTCCATCCTGTGTCGCTTCTATTGCAGGAAGTGACAAGTGATGCTACAGACATTCTTAGTCAACTTTCGCCAGAACAGGTTGAACGTATGGAAGTTTTCATAATTCTTTACTCAAATCATGCAAAGTTATTACTGTTATTATCAAATGCTCAAATGTCCATTTTCAAAATTCATTCAGGAACTAACTACTGAAACCTCTTCAAGTGCTATGCATGTTTCTTTTGCATACATTTACTAAACTAAATTTTATTTAGAATTTCGGAAATACTTCAATATGTTTGACAAAGAAAACAAAGGTTTTATCAAGGCAACACAGATCGGCCAGATTTTAAGAACTATGGGTCAGGCATTTGAAGAACGAGATTTGAAACAGCTTATTAAGGAGTTCGATACTGACGGTACATCATTCATCATTCATAATTAAGATGACACATTGCAAAATATAGTTCTGAAAATTCGAACTGCTTTTTTTTTTTTTTTTTTTATCTTCTAGCATATATGAGGCTTATTCCAAAGCTGAATCAGAATCATTAGTAATCAAGTAGATGGGTGAATTAGCGGAAGAATTGGATAGAGAATACGACTCTGTTCAAAATATGCAATTGCTCTTAATTTGAATTGTGTTGTACATGCCGATTAGAAAAACTGATCACTTTCAAACTGGCAACATCTCCCTTTTACGAGATGAGTTTCAAAAGTCTTAAACATGCTTCTATTATTGATGTCAATTATTAGTTATAAAAAAAAATTATTGGTATCAGTTAATAAAAGTCAGAATAATTTACGAATAACTTTATTTTTTATATTTTTACAGGATCAGGCGAGATTGAATTCGAAGAATTTGCAGCAATGGTTGCTAGTTTTGTTGTTGAAGATGAAAATGCCGGTTTAGAGGAGGAACTGCGAGAAGCGTTTCGATTGTACGACAAGGAGGTAGTTAAGAAAACAGTCGATAACTCACAGTAGTAAAAAATTTTCGCTTTCAAGCTGAATTAATGAGGCGAGACAAGAATCTGATTATGAATTCACTCCAGAATTATGTTATTTCACATAAAACAATCCCTCTTCTTCCTAGTATTTATAATTTTCAATATTTTCTGCTTCAATTCGTTAATCATAGCAGAAAACACTTTCACATACATAGGTTTAATTTCATATGCTTAACTGCAAAGGAATCCAACAACCAACGAAATGACTTCCGATATTGATTGAAATTAACTAATCATTTACAAAAACAGTAGCTTTTAAGTTAATTTTATCGTGTGATTTTTCAATTATCCAATCTTAAGGGCAATGGTTATATAGCAGTATCAGATTTGCGTGATATTTTACGTGCGTTGGATGAAAATGTCTCCGAAGAAGAACTGGATGAAATGATAGCTGATATCGACACTGATGGTTCTGGCACGGTCGATTTCGACGGTTAGAATTACATTTACTGTTCTGTAATCTTTTTGAAATATGAATATGAAAGCAAATACCAGCGTTGTTTTATCGTTTACTTCCTACCTGACTTTTTAATATGTTTTCTCCCTTAATATTTGAACAATATACCTTCAGAATTTATGGAAATGATGTCTGGCGAATGAGCATTGTTCGAAAACATCGCAAATATAATGCAACACAGCTCTTGCAGTATATTATTGTCAAAGTCTTAAACGATGCAATAAATTGTTAAACGTAATCTTTGTTTCTGTTCTACCCATTCCACAGAATATCATGAAGTGTTACGGAATGCATTCATTACATCTGATGGAAACACTCATACCTTTCATTTAGTTGCCATTCAGTGATTCCTGGATATCAAAGACATGCAATAATGTTGTGCTTTTCGGCTTCTGAGATTCAGTGAAGATAAGCAAAGAAAGTGTATTCAATTCAAATCATATCGAAATGAATCACTTGAACGGTGGAACTGATAGCAGCAATATATACTCTAGTCCTGAAATTTATTTAATCAAGACTATAGGAGAGAAGAGGTCTAGACTCCTAATCATGCAATGCAAAGAACAAGAATAGTGACATGCTTATTAACTTATTCCAACATGAGACAAGGCTTTTTCAGTAATGGACTGCATTGAGATGACAGATAAAATCTCGGTTTGATTGCCGCTTTAATCTTTGGTTTTCGACGGGTGTGTGAGTTGTTGGGGTTTTGTGGTAGTTATGAAGTAAGAACGGAACGAAGGAGGTAGCTGTTTATCCATTAATTAGTTGGCGAGCTAAAGAAATGTTAAGGACTGCCACCAGACTGAAATACTCAGCTGGCAGACCGTCTATTGGTTTGGCATTATTTGGATGTAAAAATCGTCCTGCATATCGGATCGTTGTATTCCCAGACAAAGCATACGGACGTCATTACGAAGGAAGTATCATCGAAGAGGTAAATAACTGTTTTTTTTATACTGGTGACACATACACTCTGGAAGTGAACTTTTCATATCGAAAGTAGTACTTCAGCGGTAAGATGTTATTCGTCAGATGTCATTTTTAAATGATGCAAGGAAATTGTTACCTTGCATCTATCCGCGAGAATTTAATGAAGTTAGTATGAATATATTTGGCAAACCCTTCAGTTTACTATGGTTTGACTAAATATAGAAATAAACATGGTCAGTTTATCGAAACAGTCATTTTAAGCTTGGCGTTTTCGATCCGCTGCCCAATTTTCGGAACGAGAAATTAGTTGCATGTGATATTACTCGTGTGAAATATTGGATTGGAGAACGCAACGCACATATATCGCCATCTCTTTTAGAACTTTTAGGTAGTGTCTTTAATTCAGTAATATATGTATTTTTTTCCCTATTTAGTTACCATTCCATTTGCTTCAATCAACTCATGCCTATTTTAGAAATCAAACTTTCATATTTTTGTTTTGGTTTCTGTGAGATGTTGGATGGGAGATTCTAGAAGTTTTAGGACTTTGGGGTGTATTACCAATACATCCAAAGACATTCATCCGTGCGCGATATCATCTCGAAGAACTGGAAGAAGCCAAGTTAAAAGTTCATTCTTCAACATCTCAATCAGGATCACCAGAAGTAGAATCGAAGAAAGAAACTGAAAAAAAAAGAAAATCATCTTTGTAATTAATAGAAAATTCGGTGAACTTGAAAACCAGCAAGTTTCAAAGCGGATATTTTTAAAAGCGTAAAACAAGGTGGCCAATACTGATTTACATAAACTATAGTGATATGTTACATATTGACGGTGGAAAAAAGAGAACCTCCTCGCCCATCAAGTATTTCCTGACAGCACCGTTTTATATATGGAGCATGTTTTTTGTCGATTACGCTTGCGCAGAATGTCAGGAAGAGGTTAAGGTACTACCTCGCAATTCACATGAGTTCAGAATTGTTCGAAATCTTTATATTTTCGAAAATGATACAAAAAAGTGTGATGAAGCAGAATTTCTATTGGTACCATCCCGAGCTCCTTTTTGTGATTCCCATGATTTAAGTGTGACTTTTTCATCGGTTGCTGTATTACCAAATGGAACCAACATGTAAGTTAAAATTTTTATTAAGGAGTGTAAGATTTCTGCAAGAGCACATTTTCGAAAGTTATACGGGATAGGCATATGACTAATTTTTGGTGACTTTATTTTATCTGGTTCGAGTATTGGACTTAACTATGCTATAAGTTCTTCTGAAGTAAACTGCAAGTGCTTTAATTACATTGTTCCTCTTCACTCAAAACTTTATAGGCTGCCTTACATTTTACTTAATGTTTCCATTTGGGTTAATAATCCAGTCTCCTCTGTTTTTCTTCGTCTGGAGTGTTTGGGCGCTCCAAATATGGAAGACGATTATTGTCATAATCACGAGGTTTGTTAATGTTCCAAATAACTTTTACAGGAATATAACTACCACTTTATTCCTTCTTTTTATACTTATATAGAAGGTGGTGTGCAGTCCTTTTTCATTTGTTTTTCGAGATAATGTATGCATTGTTTATGTCAAGTCTTACTTATTTATCAGTATAAAAATTTGTTTGATACAGCATTTTTTTTTTCATTGTATCTTCAATTTAAATTGTTCTTTTTTTCGGAAAATTTACTGTCAGGATTTTTTACATTAAAATTGCTGTCACGTTGGAGAGCTCATAACTTTTCAGGAGCAGTCTCGGAGGTGGGGGCGTATGATATGGCCTTGTCGTTCTCTAACCCTTTCTGAACCCGATCTTGTCAGTTATCCATATTTTTTTAATTATCATTGTTTTCGACTTACTTCTTATTCACATTACCGTTTGAATGTGTCATGTGCTCCAAATGCTTGCAGGTGCGTTATATTATTTTAATGAATAAATAAAAAATAAAACAATTTGGTAAATTAGTGACTGGTTTGTAAAAATCTCGGTCATTCAAGAGGTAATTCAGAATAAACTGCTGAAAGTTTCACACTGAGTATGGTGGATACTGGAATTTATTTTATTCGAATCACTGTATTTACAGGAAATCGTTTATTGTCACAATACCGGAGGAGGCTCAAATGAACCCTGCTATAAGTCGTTTCTATGATAAAGATGCTGCAAGTGGTGGTAATTATTGGTCACCACTTGCTTCCGTAGATTTAACCTTGCGAGACGTAAGTTCATAGCTGAAGAATAGACGTTTATAATGATTTTTTGTGGGACTTCAAATTTTATAAAATTTAAGGGTATATTATTGCTTTTGAAGTACTGTGTATGATTGTTATGGTTTCTGCATTTGTTTTGATTTTCATAAAGTGAAGATTCCACATTTGAAACAATCTTAAGTAATTATAAGCAATGTGTGCTATAAGGAGAACAAAACTTCTGTTGCAGTAATGCGTGCCATGCGAACCACTGTTTCGATTTCTTAATTATTGCAGTTGTCTTTATTATCAAATTTCTTTAGCTGTAACAAATTGAGAAGGATTTTCTAGTCTTAAAAAAGTGTTTTTGAGAGAGTGGTTATTCGTTATGAAAAGCAGCCAGCTTTAGCGGCTACTCCAATCTCTATTGCTGTCTTTGAAACGATCGCTTCCTCTTCTGCCCATCTCTTTACGAATACATTAGATGCTGGCGTCGTTGAATATGCATGGAAGAACGTCCCAGCTGGGAACTTTACTGTATATTTATACGTTAGTCGCTTAGACTGTGATCTAATATGTAACAGCGATACTACTGTGGATAAATGTACTTTATGTCCAAGTACAAGAATTTATTTCACAGTTGAGGAAGATAAAATTTGGTTTTCGGCATCAGTGCATGGTTTATTATCTCATGGGACTTGCGTCGTTGGTTAGTTTCTGCTTTTTTAAATTGTATTAATTTCTAGGTTTGTTAACAAGTCAGAATTACTAGTAGGAACAATGAAATTTAAAATACTGGTCCCACATTACATTCCAATATGTTATTCTGTATCTTCTAGGTTATAAAAGAATTTCTCCTATTTAAATCAGCACAGAAATAAGTTTGCTTTTAAGATAAAAGCACATAATTACAATTTTTGATGGAAATGCATAACGAAGTTCGATTCCGAATTATCGTCTTGATATTCGGAGAGCGTGAAACAGCTGAATTAATTGCCTTTGTCGCTTTATACTCTAGACGTAGTTTTCGTATGTATCTAAGTTTGTCTTTACTGTTTTTCAAGACTCTAGTTTCTCAGTGTCTTCTCTTGTTTCATTTGTCCTTCAAATCATCTTGTTATAGCGATTGTTACAGCGATTGTTTTAGTCAACGGGTAAGGTAAAGTCTTTAAATTTGCTTGCTTCTTTGAGAAGCTTATATTCACTTACATCTAATATTTAGTTATGGCATCTGACATTCAGCAATACCACATGAATGTCATTCATTTATATCAGTTGTTGTCTTTCATTGTTTAAGAACGTTTTCTTTTGGATGTGTTAGCGTTTTTTCCTCATCATTTTTTTTTTTTTCGGATAAAGTGAAATTATATTTCAGGTGCTTCGGTGCTGTGTTTTGTTGTTACAATAGGTTTTTTGTTCTTTTTCTTGACGATCAAATGCTTTCACAAAGTCCCATTACGAGAAGTATTACTTTCGCAGCGAACAACAGTTTTTATCGCTTATGTAGACGACTGCAAACCACATTCTGATTGCATCGCTGTACTTGCAAAAGTATTGCAGCACAGTGCGAATGTAGATGTATTCATGGATCAATTTGAGTTGAAATATTCGGGTATGTAAATTTTTTTAGTGCATTAAATTTATAAAAGTAATTTTTTTGAAGATAAAATGATTTCTTATTCAGAATTTTTGTGTTAAATGAATAACGAATTTTCATTAATTGTAATTGAGTGCGTTTCGTTACTATGAAAATTCTCTCAGTCCTGATTTTTCTCTTGTTTGCTATTCTATTTTATCTTCATTCGATGCAGCAGAAATTTCTTTCATACAAAAATTAGTCGAAGTCTGGTTCAGCTTCTTCAGCTTCTTCCTTTCTTTTATTTTTATCAACAAACTTTATTTGAAATTGACATATTTTAGAAACACTTCCATTGAGATGGTTCGTCAACAAATTTGCAGTAGCTAATCATGTAGTGCTTATTTTTTCTGAGGGAGCAAGTGTCATCCTTCATGGGGAAAGTCTTATTCAACGACAACCGTTTCCTGAATTCTTCTCTGTTGCGCTTAATATGTTGATAGCGGTTAGTCCAAAATAATATATATGTTTTTGGATTCTTGCGTAATACTTGCAACAAAATCTTAAACAATGCTTTGCTTAATCTTAAAGTATACTGAAATTAAGGAAATTCGATAAATTCATTACGTGTTTCTTATTACCTTCTTTCTTGAAAAATTCTAGGAATACAGTAAAGATGTCACCAAACAATCTGGAAAGTTACTATCAGAAATAAGACTGCGCTTTGCATTTGCCTATATGACCTATTCTCCATCTTCAGTGATCCCCGAAGAGCTTACTACTTTACCGATCAATATATTTAAGCTGCCTGAACAGGTGTGCTTTTATTTTTAATACAAGTCTCTCTTTTCACTCTCTCGTTTCTTCACTTTTCCAAATGAATTTAGGTTCAGAATCTCATTTCATGGTTGCATAATCAACCGTCTGATATCTATGTAGATGTTTGTGTTGATATTTCGGATTTGAAAAGTGCCGTGAATGAAGTTGTGGAATACCGACGCAAGAACGCAATTTGGTTAACAGAAAGGTTGCAAGACAAGCACAAAGTAAAATTAACATATAATTCTATAGTAGCTATGTTAAAAATAATAAAATACTGTTAGTCGATTTCAATATTTTTGAGGAGATTGTTGAGTTTTATTGCAAATATAATTACAAGTCATTGATTGATATTAATCAAAGTTTGACCTCTCCCTGTTTATAATCTTTTTTCACATGTTATGACAGAATTTTGGATCTGCTTTTGCACTACAAAATGTTCCTTTCCAATCAAACCGCTCGGTATTAACACCTGAAGAGCAAATTAATATTGCGGAAGTGTTGAATTTGGAGCCACCCGATATTCATTCCTCAATAGTTAGTTATTTCCATATGCCATTCTTTGATTTTTGGGAATTTATTTTTCCTGGTAAAATTCACTGGAATAATTTCTTCATTGCAGGAAGAAATTCGTTCTAAGGAAGAGGATGTGTTTGCTTTAATAGGATCACCCAGTGATAGCAGCTTCGATTCTGATGATTCCACTTCCAACAGGAAGCATTTACAGTAATTCTTCACAGAAGAAAAAAAAAAGAATGGGTTTTTATAAAAAAATCACAACCATTTCATGTAACGCATGTCATATGACTCTTTATAGCATTATTTTTTGTTAACAATTATATAGCGTAAGATATTACTTTTTCTATATTATTATTTTTTAAGATTTGTCTTTCGTTGAATTTTTCTTACATTGCTTTTTACGTGTACGTTTTAAAAATAGTTTTTATACTTTTTTATATGTTTTAGTTGACATGCTTGATCTCCTTATTTGAATTGTGCTGTTTTGTGCTTTGGTATTATTTCATTGTTTGAAGTTGTTTATTGTTAATGGAATTTTGCAATAGTTTTCAATAAATACAAATTTAAATTGGTTATATCCTCTGTATCTTACGGTATCTGTTTTCAAACGCATTACTGC